ACTTTATAGCTAATAAATGTTAATCGAGAATTGCTGTGAAAGATAAAAAGAGATTAAAGAATTTAAATGTGTTATTTAATAAGAAACATTTGTTACCTGTATATAATAAACAATATGAAACTGACCGTTATTTAATAAAATCTTTAAGATTTATATTTAATTAGCATCACAGAGTTATTAACATGCACAAGATATAATTACTATAATTTTTCAGATGTGAATGTGAGAAAGAATTTAATTATTTTATCGCCCATTCCTTCCAATAAATAATTAAAATTGTGAAAAAATCTGAGTTAAATATGGCACTGTTATTTGTAGTGATTATTATCTTAAGCGAAACATCGTGATATGTGGAATATTAAAGACAACACTATGTTCGATTCCGCGAATCACTTCCCGGCAAACGAACAGCGCGCGAATGTACTCCGCCAAGCAGCGAGACATGACTGCTTAACATCAGCAACGGGGCGGCGCTAAAAAACACTTCCTTCCTCGTTGGAAAATACGCATACTTGGTGTTCCGAGAGAACAAACTATTCCACAAGCTTGGAAAATTACAAACTCTGCGAGTACATACCAGTCGTCAATTCGAATCCACGGAATGCCGGGCGCATTTTGTAATGTCGCAGAGGGCCTCTACATCGATCTGTTTTTTTTTTTAATTAAACGTTATTTGAATTTTTTAATTAAAAATATATAGTTTGTTTATAGAAAAATTTAAAACTTTGTTAACATTTTCATCATAATTAATATTAAAACAAAATAATCTAAGAAGTCTGAACTGTTTGTACATCTTTCTGTAATAAACGTCAAAACAATGTTATATTTCTTCGTCATATTCTTTTCTTGATATTATATTTAATATATACACTACGCCACAAAGAATCACCTGTTCTATCCTCTAAAAATAGGCTTTAAACTTCAAGCTAGAGCAACTTGATCAAAAACTATCGTATCGAGATTTTTCAAAAAGCATTTTACAGCTTAAAATCTTCACTTTTCAAGTTAATACTTTAGAAAACAATTAACTGATTTTTTTTGGAATTACATTGATACAAATGGAGATGTGACAAATTGCAAAAATTTTTTCCAAACTTTGCAAAGTTCCATAGCGCGAAATAAAAGTCGCACATAAACGTGGTGTACAGCTTTCGAAAGAATTAATCTTGTCCTTTAATTTTTTTGTTTAGCGTTATTCTACGTACGATTTTTTTTCACCGAATAATTCAACATCACAGCAGAAAAGATCATTTTTGCTTTAATGTTGAATAACTCGATGAAAAAATCATACAATGCTCAACAAAAAAGTAAATTAAAGGAAAAGATTCATTCTTTCGAAAGCTGTACAACGCGTTTGTGTGCGATTTTTATTTCGCGTCGTGGAACTTTGCAAAATTTTGGAAAAAATTTTGCGATTTGTCACACCTCCATTTGTATCTATGTGGCTCCGAAGAAAATCAGTTAGTTTTTTTCTAAAGTACCAACTTGGAAAGTGGAGATTTTAAATTGTAAAATGCTTTTTGAAAAATTTTGTTACAATCATTTTTGGCGAAGTTGCTCTATCTTGTAATTTGCCTATTTTTAAAGAATAAAACAGGTGATCCTTTGATTTTGTAGCGTTGTGTATTTTTGCATAGAGACACTTTTAAAATATTTTCCATTTGCATTTTTTCATTTTTCGTATTTTTTTAGGTTTAAATTATTCCAATTTTTGTGCATTATTTTTATGATGAATCTCCAGTATACTTACATACTTAAAGCAATTATAGCACAGAACAGAACCAAACGATGTATATGCATAGCGTTGCGAGCCTCCGGATTCTTGCTACTCCCAGCATTGAACAGCTCACGGGAAAATAAATATGAAGTATTTATTTTCAGAAAGAAGAAGATCGTTCCCTGCCGACGAGCTCTTGGCCCCTTTACGCAGCTTTGACAGTGGAGTTTCGTCGAAACTGTCTTGACGTGCGAATGACTTCGCGCCAGCTTGAATTACATCACGAGTCCTTTCCTAATTCTCGTTCCACGTTACAGTTCCTTTCAAGTGTTGCGTTTCTTTTGTGTGAGTGCGATGCGAGTGTGATAAGGCGAGAGGATTGCGTTTGAACGCGAGCGCAACATTTTGAGGGCTCGTCCGGGATAGAACGGGACTGAGTGGAGACAGCGAGCCATGATGAATACTCCCAGGAAGAGGATGTGTACGCGGTCGTCGGCAGACGCTGAGTCTTCACCGGGAGATGCCGAGCGTCCGACGAGGCACGATGTTACGCTGGATTTAGAGACGATCCTCCGCTCCACGTTGGAGGAACTACGTTTCTGATGAGAAAGAAGTGTTCGTAGTTCCGTCCGCGTCGGCGCGAGGTAGAACTCTTTGCGCGGCTGCAGCGGACAATCAGACTACTCAGCGGTTAGAGGAGCAGCTTCGTCAAACGCCAGGCCAGTCCGCTTTTAACTTATGAAAAAATTCCGCCGGCGCGCCTAACAGTTTCGGTTAAAAATGAAAGCCCGATACGTATGACGAGAGTGCCCTTCTGTGCGAGTTTTTAGTGCAATTTAATTTAATAGCGCGTGCAAATAATTGAAACGATTCCGCGAAAGCCATGGCTATTGCCTCAAGCCTGAGAGATAAAACTCAAACGATTCTTGATGGAGTTACCGAATTAGAATCGAGATTAAAATTGCTTTTGGTGAGGAACATTTGTCTCATCAGTCATTTTATACGCAATTCACTAACTGGAAGCAGAAATTTGGCGAGAATCTCCCCACTGTGGGTGTACATTTAGAGCATTTGTTCCGTCTAATATAGCTGGAGTGCGCGACACCCAAAAAAAATATTCTATCCTTTAGCGGTATCCTCTTGATGCTAAAAGATTTTCCTCCTATATACATCTCAAGAAGATATTTTAAAATGTAGAGGGATGTCAAATTACTATGAGTATATATTCTAAAATGTAGAGGAATATCAAATTATTATGAAAATTTATTCTTGATTATAGCGCATGATCCACTTCTTTATAGATAAATACATGTTATAGCTAAGGGATATGTTTCATGTAAAATTTTTTTGCTTAGAGGAAATGCTTAAAGAAATTTCCCGCTTATAAGCAGAACATTTTTTTTGGGTAGAGGTACGAGATAAAATCACGTGCGCCCAGTTCGTCGCACTTGCAGACAGTTTTAAGAGAACGCTCCAATTAAAGGGCTTGACATCTTTGATATGCACATCACCACATACAAGGTAGCGAGTTTTGTGCGAGCATGCGAGTAATTTCACAATTACAGTGAACGTCACGTTACTAAAAATTATATAGCTATGTAAGCTGTATAAGCCATAAGTCTATAAAGATCGAAAAACGCTCAAGAAAGAAACGTGATTATGAAAAGAGTCGAAGATGCGCGAATAATTACATTCGGATATTGTCTTATGGGATTTAGCATATATCTTTTCTGCCTGCTTTTGGAATTGCCGTACGTCACTCATCAGATAAATCATTGATCCAGGTAGACAAATGTTAATACAGACTTATTACATTACGACGTAACGAAAACTCCACAATACGAAATGTACATATATTGTACAATCTATTTTCCCTTTCTGCGTCATGACGTGTTATGTGGGAATCGATAATTTTCTTGGGTTAATAGTGTTTTATATTTGGTTTATATCTGTGTTTTATATCGGTCAGATGGCCCTCAGACATTGTTTTATTTGTTTGAACAAATTTATGAACTTTCATGTATCTAAAGAGCTGCGTGATGGATCACAGTCGATTTGCTGAGATATTTATACATGTATCAACTATTTGCTCTTTTTTCTATAGAAATAAATTTATTATAGTGTTAATGTGTGTTGGGTATATATATTTTGGAAACAATCATACACTCGTGTTAGCGACTCAGACTTTAAGGCAAATATTAGATAATGCTAATAGGAACAGCATCAGAGGAGAAAAACAAAAGAAATGATTTATTACATCTCGCGCGACTCTTTCTCTCTCTCTCTCTCGCCCTCAGTATACGATGACACATTTCCGATCACGATTTACACTCATTTACAGAATGTACGTGTGTTACAAATGCGTGTACTCATGTACACTTATTTACACTATTATTAGTAATTTTCTAATGTGTGTTGATGTCCTCACAAAATGTTTTCAATATTTTCAAGTTCAATAAAATAGATGATGCTGCATACCAACAAATATGGTACAAATATGGTCCTAAATTAGAAAAATGTAAATTTGTTATTTTTAATGACAAGAAGTTCTGTAAATCAATCTATCTCAATATTGAAAAAATATTGTCTAGCTGTTACAACGGCTACATGCATTGTAAGATATTTTAATGACTATATATTTTTTTTTACTTTGACTATTAAAATATTAAGGTGTCAGTGAAATTTAAAAAAAAATCATTGTACAACCTCTATCACATTATAATATATAAAAGTCGAATTTTTCATTTTAGTACTATTTATGTACATCTTAAATTTTGTAATTACATATCTATCAAACTTATACCATTATTATAATTCTATGCATACTATGATATTTGCATTAAATAATCGTATTACATTTTCTTTGCTTATTGCAATTGTTGTCATGCTGTAAAGCAAATAACCTTGGCTATCTGTTGGAATTACTTATTATTGCAAAAATATCAGAATAATTTATATTTGTTAAGAGAAATAAACAAAGTAAAACTGTATAGACTGAACATAATTCTCTTATTAGTACAACAAACTAGACAATTTTTTAACAAGTAATTACATTACTATTGCAAAGCTTATTTAATCATTCAATCCATTAATAATGAACAATTGATTATATAGAATTGCAAACAATTACACAAAACAGAAAGATATGATGGACATAAATTACTACAGCAATAATCATCAACAGATATATTGTAAAGGTATGATATATAACCTTTTAGCGGTATGTAGCTGTATTATAAGCTGTAGCCGATTAAAGAAGCGTGGGAAAGAAACGGATGTATAAAATATACCCCTTTCTTTTGTCAACTTGGTATCCACTTGTAATTTTTTGTTTACAAATGTTTCGTGCGATATTCGGTGCTGAAATGACAGAAACTTAAAACGAATGAGGATGCCGAATATTTAATATTACTTCGTTACAGATGGGTCGTTTGTCCCCCTTTCAAAAATGATCATTAAAAGCATGCGCGAGAAACGTTTTTTTACTGAATACAAGATAATGTCGATTCATGAAAAAGGGACAGATGTCAATCGCTAGACAACATTCGACATGGAAACATCAAAATATAACGGATACCGAGGTTATTTTTTTTATTATTGTAATTGAGAAAATTTTAATACGAATATTTTGATAAAAATTTGTGCGAGCAATGGTAGCATTAAAAATTTTCAAATTATCGTTTTTTCATGATAGTGTAATATTTTAAATTAAGTTATTGAACAATTGCAACAAAACAGTAGCTAATACATACTTCAAATATTCAGTGATTTTTATTGTCCTTACCAGGTAATCTTTTTAATAAACTTCGGACTTATTAAGATTTTTGCAGGTAGATTTCGAATGGGCGGTAAAATTGAATCGTTTTACTTTAAACTTGATTGGGCTGTGGCCTAAAACTGAACAAAATTTTCGACAAAGGTTAATGTGCAATTTTCGAGTGCTTGTCATTGTTTTGAGTATTGTACTGGGCCTCCTTATTCCATGCATACATTCCTTGGCAAGAATTTTTGGAGACAGTTTGCTAATGATAGATAATTTACAAGTTACTTTACCGGCCTTGAGCTGCTTGATTCGAATCATAATTTTTTGGTGGAAAAAAGAAGGTAAACATCATATTTTGCTATTTTTATAAGCTATAAAATATAATAAATAATTTACATATCCATTGAACGTTTGATATTAATAACTTCAAATACATATAGATAGTTCAATTTACTTATATTAATGTTAGATAATTTACAATTTATTTTACCAACTATAAGTTGTACAATAAGAATCATTATTTTCTGATGGAGAAAAGGAGATAAGCATAACATTTGGCTATCTTTTTTTTAGAAATTATTAAATGTGGTATATAACATGTAATTTAAATATTATATTCTAATTAATATTTGATTCATTAAAAAGGGGATAATTTTTATTACTTTTATCATTTTTTATGAAATTTGCGACAGTTTATTTTGATACAATAATTATCTGTTAGTTACTTTTAAAATTTTCAATATTGACATTTTTTAAAAGCTATCGAACCGATCACGAATATGATCATGGAGGATTGGGTAAAACCGAAAGAAACGCAAGAGAGAAATATGATGATCAGAAGAGCGCAGAGTGCACGTATAATAAATATTACGTGCGGATATTGCATTATGGCAGTATCTTACATTTTTTTTATTATTTTACCTGCGTTTGGTATATCGATGAGGCACACAAACAATATTACTGATCCAGGCGGTCCAATGCTTGCACAAACTCATTACGTTTATGATGTAACCAAAAGTCCACAGTACGAACTGACGTTTATTAGTCAAATTATTTGTATTACTCTCGCAATGATAATCTATAGTGGAATTGATAATTTTTTCGGACTGTTGATTCTCCATATATGTGGCCAGTTAGATATTCTGAAGAATCGTTTAACAAATTTGGATAAATATATAAATTATCACGAAATACTAAAGAGTTGTATAACAAGACATCTACGCTTGCTTAGGTTTGATATATGATAATGTGATCTATACGAAATACTTGATCAATCCTTCATCTATACATCTAATACGAACTATCTTTTATAGAGCCATTGACAGTATTGAAGATACATTTAATGTACTACTTCTCTTTTTATTCATATATTTTGCGATAACCTTCGCTTTTTTTGGTTTCCAGATAAAAACTGTAAGTATTTTTTGATGATGTAATTAATGATGAAATTAAGGTAATTTATTAAATTAAATTGATATTTAACTGTAAGAAAATATTTAAGAAATATATTAAAAATTTTTATTGCATATTTCATTTTAAATTTCTAAATTAATATTATGTCTTCTTTCCTATAAATTAATTAGTTATTTAACGAAGGAAATTATATATCACTCCCCTTGATATATTTTGTATCTACTGTAATTAATATGTTTGCATACATGGGTCTTTATTGTGCTCTTGGAGAGATTTTGGTTGCCCAGGTTAGTTAAATATTCCTCTATTTTGCTATAATGGTCAGTAAGTCTGATTAGTATATTAATTAATCTACAATTAATAATTAACTTTTATTCAATTACTACACAAAGAGTAATAATTTCGTCTAAAAATACTTTTGATATTTACAGTGTAATAAAATATATTATGCAGCGTACAGCAATAAATGGTATACTATGAACAGAAAAGTAACTAAAATTTTGTTACTTTTAATGATAAGAGGTTCTAAACCGGTCTATCTGACTGCTGGAAAACTATTTCCTTTAACGATGGCAACGTTTTATAGTGTAAGTTGTATGACTAATGTATGACTAATTATTGCATTATAATTTATATATTTGACATGAAATTAGATATACAATATAAAATTAAAATTTTTTGTTTTATTTTATTTTTGTATTAAATTTCAATATTAATTAATTATCAAAACTATATTATTAAGTAGTGCGTAAGAACGTTAATAAAATGCGAACTCGTAATAATTTACGAAAAATCACTACTCGACGAGCGTACGATCTTTTCGTTATGACGTTCGATTTATTTCTATTCTGTTTTACCGCGAGTTTCTTTTTCAATGTAATTATTCATTTTCGTTGCTAAGTCGTATTAATACGACTATCATATTGAACATTATGCGTTATTACATTACACCGTACAACCGGTATTCAAACGGAAAGATTCTACGCTGATTCTTCCTACTACAATTAATTACATTATTAAAAATATCTTTTGCAGTTAATACAAACGTCATTTGGCTATATATCCGTTTTATATACTTTGAGAAATTAACAACAAAGTGAGATAAAATCTATACTTTCTTTAACGTTATGCAGTTTTACAAAAAAGCTAATGTAATTAAGAACTATACGCAAGTATTAATATCAAATTTTAAATAAATTATTTTACTGCAAGATGAGATTAAAAATGAATTTTATTAAATAATGGATGGATTCAAATCTGAATTATAATCCACAAATAGCCATTTTTATGAAATGTGTGTAAAGTGTTAATTGTGTTAATCATTTAATTTTAAATGAACAATTTATTGTAATTAATTATCTTAAATATTTAATAAACAATATATTTAATAAGAAAAAGTTTCAAATAAGAATTACTCAATTTTTTGCAAGATTTTTGTAATTAGCATAGTCTTGTTTTAGGTGAAAATCCTTCTGTAATTTTGAAATTACTTTTACTTCCATTTAATCGAAATTAATAAAGTATCTTTTTTAATAAATCAATTTTTGTGTATTATTCTGCACATAATAGTACATAGAATAATTATCAAGATAACTATAGTGTGTGTGTGAAATATTTTATATTTTACATTAATTAATAAATTATATAATATAGTACTCTTATTTTTTAGTAAAAATTGTTTTATATATTATATATGAGCAAGATGTAATGATAAAACAACACAAATTATTAGAACAATTGTCACAATAGGACATATATTTTTTAATAATACACTTATTGTTGTACTGATTTAGCGATAATAGAATTGTTCCTTTATTTTACATTAAAATTTGCATGATGATTAGACTTTTGTTTAACCGAAAAATTGATATTTTGCATATGCACTGATTCCGATAGCGATGAGAGATGGGACGTATTTGAGAACGTTCTAGACTGGTTGCTCGATAAAACAGTGCTTAAAAATGAACTGCGAGACTGCCAACCAAATCGTTTTAGCAATAACCGCAAGATCTTCTTTTTGCACACGTATAGAATGAAAATGAAGACGCCTTGCAAGATATCTATCGTAAAGCTGATACTCCAAATCATTCCTGATATAGTATTGCTGGCATTGATCAACCACAATATTATACCCATACTCCAACTTAGTCCCATCACAACAAACAGTTTCAGGTACATAGTAAACCTATAAGCAAATATTACATATATCGTCTGATTATGATTATTATTAAATAAGATATACATACAGCATCTGCCAAAACAATCAAGATATACATTTATGAAAATATAGCTCTTGATCATTTTCAGATATTCTTAACAAAAATAATAGATAGTTTTAAGCGAGCCAGTCTTTAAAAATAATAAGTTTTTAATTACAGATAGCTTCAATATTTTTTTAAGAAGTGCAATTTTAACTTCATAAATCATAAAAACAAATTAGATCATATATAAGATCATTAGAAAACAAACTTCTTGTTAAATTAAACGCAAATTGCTACGTGTCAATACTTAATGCGAATAAACAATTAAAATCGTTAATGTTGCGCTATATATTCACACACGGTGATCATATTATTTTTACTCTAATCGGTATTTGCTCCAAAATTTTCTGGTTATCACCGGCAGTGAACAAAACTTGAAATTTCGACAAAATTTAAAATATAATATACTTTTACTGGAGGTCAACTTAATTGAACAACTTTTTTTTAGAAGTCAAAATCCGAGGAATAAGATTATGTAACTTAAAATTATGTAAAGTAGTAATGTTAAGTTGTAAAAAACATTTGTTATAAATAATATTTCACAACGCTATCTGGAGATTTGGGGCGTAATTAAAAAAATGTCCAGCTTTACTGGATTCGCAAATATCATACTATTTAAAGGTAATAATAATATTGTGAAATCCAGTTTTTATTTGCATAGGTAACGATATTTTTACTTATATCTAGCTCGGCTACTTTTTATGAAAAAACATGAAATATTGATAAATAATACATCGTGTTATTATATAACAAATAACACATGCAATTTATCGCGACTACATTTATTGAAATTTTTCAACTGTACAAACTTGCGCTTGTGGTTATTATAGAATCGGCTCTCCGAATCTCTCAGCTGATTGGCAGTATATTTATTATGATACAGAATCGTTAGTGCCGTAGCGATGAATAAGAAAACGTTAATAATATAAGCAACACCCGTGGGTCCGTAATAATACACTGTCATTGCACTATCCCTTGAAATAGAAAATACGAGTAAATTCTTCGCGTTATACGTGTCAATAAATATTGATGTCCATCTACAAGTTTAAAATTGAAAGTTGTTAAGAGCAATCAAGGCTTCAGTGAAATATTCCACTAATAGCGCTAACAAAGATTTCATTGTCATATACCACCAAACCAAAATTTTCTCGTGCACATTCTCGGTCGAATCCAGTTCTTCGGTATACCAGGAGCATGATCCATGATGGCACTAGCAGCGCTGACAATGAAAGTAGTTCCCCACGCATAGAGAGAGTATAACACGAATTTCTTTTTGTTTTCCTTTGCGTTTAGAGGACGCAAACTGAGTTTTCTGCAAAATGCAACTTACATTTAGCCAATAACGTATAAATTATTTTGCCATCCGGCAAACGTGGAGATCCAATTTCGATTCCTGGCTGAGAACATGAGATGATATTTTTTCGCAATAAATTTCTTTACAGATTCGTTGAGAATGGTTCGTGTAGATGCAGGCTAGCATTTATTTGACGTCGCGGGGGAGGATTTATTAGATGCAAGTGAG